ACCCATTAGATCCGTGAGCAGTGCTACTATCTTCGACGGTCGAGGCTCTAACTAGTAACAAAAACAATTTGTGGCACGGATAACCTGTAGAACCGTTGGGGAGTTATAGGCAGACAAGTGCATACCCTCCATCGTCACTGTGAAACAAAAAATTAAAGAAACCCTCGATATGAGCAGACTAACCGGCCAGATACATGACAACCCCAGGGTCTTCTACAGGACCTACAATCCCTGGTATGACCGTAAACTATAAAATGGCCTGAATCCCCCATACTTCACTGCTTCTTACATCCCAGTTGTAAATGACTCACAAATTGGATTTGACTGATTGACCTGTCAAAGCTGTTATACTACAGCCCAGTCTAAAGGCAGCAAACTCCTATACAACTAACTGCTCTACTTAAACCTCTGTTGACTTTTTCATCTCCCCCCAGTTTTCTATGCCTACAGGATGAGCCCTGTCCCTCAACAGATTATCCATGCAGGCACTCTTCTCATGGACTAGCTCTTACTTAAATATAGAAATCACTATTGGGTGCACAGCCTGATTGACTAGTTTTACTTTTACCACTGTATACACCTATACATGTTCTCATGCAACCTTGTGTAGAATGCTAGCATATTTGTTAATTACCTTTCCGAAAGACGCATGTTGTGTCCGTTTGTTTTTATCCCTTTTGAGACTCTGCAAACACTAAATACATCATTTCTTTTGTAATCCCAGGGTTGGGTACAGTCCTACCTCTGCTACATGTAAACTAACGGACTATCTGTGTGCATCCTTGTATAACTGTTGCATTTACTTTACGTTTGAAAAACCAAAAATGAATGTTAAAAAACTAAACATAACTAAAAGAATATCATTAAATGCAACAAGTAGACCTAATAAACATTATTCAACATATTTCTCTAGATTGTAAGCTCGCTTTCTGTTGCATTTGTTTTTCATTTTTTATTTTCTTATTTACTTCTCATTCTCCATGTTTCCCAATGTTTGGCCCTATATAATGTGGCTAAAGAAAATTACATATGCTCTTATTTGCCATTACCAAAAGTTTTTTTCTGATTGGTAAATGGCAACTTCTGTTGAGTTGATGATTGAATTGGAAAATGTAGGCTAAAATAGACAAATAAACAAACAGTTGAGATATTTCCTAGCTTGGACCAGTCCTGTGTGTGTTAAAGGAGAACAACACCAACAAAGCCGAGGACATGGTAGTGCTGGGTTGGAAATAAGGTCAATGAATATCTCAAAATCTAACATTGGATGCATTGTGTGTCTGTGTGATATATTATCTGTTCAATACATTATGGGATGATTTCTGTTAAAGTGAGCTTGTCATGACAGGTCAACCTGAAGTAATATAGACTTCCTTTTTGTTACAGAAAACTAATAAACCATACATAGCAATTTTAATGGGCTTTCTCATTATTGAATGTAACTTTTAACGGTACTTATAAACCTCATACTGTAGACTTGTGCATGGCGAAAATTAATTTTGCCCAATACATTCCTCCCCCCAACCCCCACGCCCCCCCCCCAAAAAAATAAATAAATATATATATATTATATTTCAAGACAGCTGTATTACAAGTTGGCTCAGCAGACATTTGGGAAATTAATCCAACAAATCAAAAAGGCCCCATTAGGTTCACAGATCAAGTGAGAAAATGTAATCAATAGAATGAAAAACAGGAGGCACAGTAAAAAAAAAAAAAAAAAAATCTATATTAATATATGTAATATATGTGTGTGTGTGTATATATATATATATATTTTTTTTTTACTGCTTTACTAGTCTCGCTTCTCACTTGATCTGTGAATACAATTAGCATTTAGTGACTATTCCTTAGCCATCAATCCTATTATTTCACTTTATTTTTGCGGCACTGGTGCAATTTAGAATTACAAATCAATCAGGACATGCTCATTTATTAGGCATTTTGTTTGGTTCGTGATTTGGCTACATTTCGACTCTGAGTCCAAGAATTCGATAGATCACCTGATGGGCCTAAATTCAAACTATTGCAGATTGAAATGAAATGAAAATCTCAAAGTCTAGTATACTTCACATACATAACACATTGTCAGTCCTGTGGTGCTCTTATTGTGCGCACTCTGACATCTGTCTTATGAATACAGGTTATTATATCTGCATTTTCAGTACTACAAGAATTGTCATGGAATTTCTAGAGAGAAAAGGTTAGCTACGTCAACCAACATATCAATAGCAGTTAAGAGATAATGATGTCAGAGGCATGTCTGCTGTGTAGCTCAGATTATTCTGTTCAGGTTTCTGGTAAACAGGAGATAATATGTAAATATGTAAAAGTAAACCAATGTCTGGCAGTACTTCAAGGCAGCATATTTTTTTTAATTTTTTTTTTTAATGCAATTTCAAAGTCTATTCATTTGTTAAATAGGACTATGAAAAATGGGTGAACGAAAGAAAAGGAATATGAAATGAGAGGCATATAAGCTGGTATTTACCTATTCCCTAATGTAAAGATATTATATATATAATTTTTATTAGTGTATCATTATATAGTTTGCATGAAATATCACAAGTAACATAAAAACAAACAAATTACATAGTATTCTCAAAGCAGAACATGTCCTCAAAAAATGGAGATGGGCAATGACAAACTCGGGCCCAATTTAAATCACAGCAAAAGGAATTTCCATGTTCGGGAATGGCCTCCCTTTGGTCCATATTGTGGAAGCCCACTGTGGTATAATATAGAACTCAGCACTATTGTTCTGTATTATACTGCTCACTGTAATCTGAACACTGAAAAATTGAAGGTATTTGATACAAAGACTTGGCACAAGCATTTATGCATGATTCAATATGAATGGAAATTCATTTTGTGATGCTCTTATGTTGTATGCATTATGACACATGTCTTTGGTATGTGTGCACATATATGTTACACATACACACTTTTTGAACCTGTGGTATAAGCTATCCCAGTCCCCAAGTGCAGTCAGTGTAACGTAACGTGACATTATCACGTGAATGTGAGTGATATCTTAACATAAGTGACACTACAGGAAAAATTATATATAATAGACAAGAAACTATTTGGGTGTTGAGGAGAGGACCTTTTCATGTATAAATATTGAATGAAAGTGGAATATAACTAAAAAAAAAAAAATCTATTTTTTGTAAATAGTTTTTTATATTAATTATTGCATACGTGAAAAAAAGTAATCTAAACGAATATCTCTGTTTTAAGATAACTACTAGAGGATCTATTCTCTTCATGTTGCCTTGCCTCCTTCCTCTAATCACAACCAAAAGGGGAAGCCCCTCTAACAGAATAAATAACACTGAGTTTGCAAAAGCTTACAAACCCCCCTTTTCCCACCAAAAAAAAAATGATTGTTTTTGAGAATTACCAAATATAATCCATGGCAGATATGTGTGTGTAAGGCTTTACTGCATAAAATACGCATTTTATTTTATGACCTAGAAATACTTTCAGTACTATAGCATCCATACACAGCAGAGGTTCAGTAAGGAAACATTTTGCTGTTGAACAAATTGCATTACAGAATTAAACTGCGATGATTTGATATAGTGAAACCTTATCTGGGAATGCCATCTACAATAATGCAATTCTCAACCCTTTCCAGTGCTCCAAAAAAGACCATAAAAGTGATCTAATTTTGGAATTCCACAAATATTGACTCACTGCATAGAATAGTTTTAGATTTTATAATGTGCTCATCGCTTTATTTAGGTATTTTATTAACACAATGGCTGTTGAAAGAGAAAAGCAAGCACTCCCTTACACGCAGTTTGCAAAAATGCTCCTTTGTAAAATGTACTTTATTACATGTAATATTTAAAATGGATAACACATAAATAAGACATCCGGCTTTTTTTTTTTTTAATATATATAAATACTCTTGGTACAGAATTGGCTCAGAATTTCTGCTTGCTGTTTGCAAATAGAAATGGCTCGATGGGCTTTTGTTGAGCAAATATATATATGCTACTCAATAGCAGGACTTTAATTTTTTTCCTGTAGGCAACCCGCTTTCAACTGCGCATTGTTAGATTCAGTTTGAGGTTTTAGTATTACTGCTGGCAGTTAAAAGCACAGGTAGCCTCTGTTATTGCTAATAAACTACGTTCTGTTGCGCTTACTGTAATGTCTGACCTCACATCTTCATTTTTACAGAAAGGGAACTTGGCTAATCAGCACTAGCAGGAATCACTGTGTAATATGAGTGTTCACACAAATACTCCTCGGAGTAGAAGAAAAACTATCCCACGCATAGCCCATCATTGCCATTCTGCTTGGATGGAATGTCAATCTGGCTGCAGAGGGAAAAGTGGGTGCCAGAGAGAGCCTAAGTGTTTCCCCTTTACCCACATATTTATCTTATCTAGTAGGGCTGTCCCAGTTTCAGGGTCCTGAACTGCCCTCTCTGGTGTTCTAAATGTTGGGTGGTATGATTAAATTTAAATAGAGTAGAAATAGAAGAACACTAAATTATATAATAGAAGCGGAAGAAAAAAAATATATAGCATGTCATGTAAAATTAAAATAAATATACAAAATAGTGCAGACTATCTTGGCACCAATAATTTCTACAAACAAAATAATGTGAGAAAACTAGACTAGGCTCCAGTTTGTGCGCGTTTGTCTGTGTGTGTAAAAATTCACCAGTGCTCTTGAAACATCGTGTGTGTTAGCAACAAGGGAGTTCTGTTGCACAAAAATCTATATTATGCTGTTTGTCAAAAGGAATAGGAGTCTCAATACTGGGGGGACTGTCCTCGGACAGCTTACCACAAGCACATCAGATGTGATTGCGCTGTGAACAAACCAGCACTCTCTGCATGATCCTGTATGTTAGGGGTCAGCATGCTGTCAGTCAGCCTGACTTTGTTGACACCCAGCTGGAATGCCCCTTCCGTGAGCTGGCCAGACCCTCTTCAGTGCAGGATAACCCATTATGATAGTTAAACAAAGTTGTGGTCAAGGCACTCAAGGGTCAATTTTGCAGCAGATTCATTGGAAAAAGCACTTTTTTCCAATAAATCTGCTGCACAATTGACCCTTGAGTATCTGGACCCCAACTATGTTCAACTATCATGGTAGGGGTAGCCAGCCCATGGTCTGGTAGCACCTGCATCTCAGTAAAAGTGAGTATTCCCCTTCTTTTTTGGATAACCCATTATAGGCATCAACAGTAATAGGAATTGCATCACTGGCAACGCCGCCCCTTACACAACCCACCCACCTGTCCCAATCTGCATACCTTCCAGTTTTGGGAAATATGTAATGGGAGTAAAAAAAAAATAAAAATATATATATATAAAAAAATGTATAAGCGCAATGTATAACCATCCAAAAAAAAGAGAGCACTCACTGGATTTAGTGAATAAATTCAAATAATTGTATTTAAAGTCACATAAATTCGATCAACGAATGACTGTCCAGCTGTCTTCATCAAGATAAAGATAAAGATGGCTAGACGGTCGAAACATTGATAAAATTGGTAACTTTAAATACAATTATTTGAATTTATTCACTAAATCCAGTGAGTGCTCTTTTTTTTTTTTTTTTGGTTATACATTGTGCTGGGACAGCACCTTGGTCTATTTAAAGTTAATTTTTTTGTTTATGGGGGAAGAGTGTTATGTATGCTTTCACAGAAGATTCAATCTTTGGTAGCACAGGGCTTGGTAGTTATGTGTGTTAATGTGTATCATAGATTTCAACTGATATAGAGGTCTTTGTGTGTAGAATTATATGCACGAGTGTGTGTGTGTGTGTGTGTGCGCAATATGTATACATTTATACACCAATTGATCAGCTAGTATCTTCCTTTTGTTTCTCTGAATGTAATTTACAGGTTTAATTCCATTACCTCCTTAAATAAGCTTACTGTGTGTGTTACCTCACAATTGGTTGGTTTCTAACTGTCTAGTTTTGAAACCTACAGAAAAATAGAAAAAATATGATTCAGGGTACAGATTTAACATTTATAAAGAAAATTTAAAATAAATACAGTAAACACCATCCACTTTTTAAATTTTTTTTTCAGTAGTATTCCTATTCCAACCAGACCATTTTATCTAATTGAAGTGGTCTGGATGCAGTAACTCTGTTCCCTTAACCCTACATGTGCAGTTTCACAGAGTTTAACTTCAGGAAATAACGCTGGACATCCTCATGTCAAGCAAAACCCCATAGAAAAGCACTGATTTAATGCTTTCCTATGGGGAAAGCTAGTACGTGTTGGGTTCCCCCATCGCCATGACTTCTTGGGAGGAGGAGATCGATCCAGCACCAAGGGGCATCAGCGCTGAATTCAGATAAGTGAAAAAAGGGTTTTTAGCCATTTCATTGATGAGGCAGAGTGGCACTGTAGTGTTAAGATTACAGTTTTGTATGCCGTACTCCTTTAATATAAAACATGAAATAAAACTTACTTCTAGTGAGGTAATTCTTATGAGAGAAGAAAACAAACTGACCTAAATTTCCAATGCCATATAATTATTAGATAATTTAGCAGTAAGTCTACTTCTATCTCAACTCCATGAGCAATGAAAATGCCCAAGTCCTTTAATAATATCAAAATGTTTAAATGTGTGTGCGTTTTCTTGTATTAAGTTGGAAAAAAAATGCACCTGGTATTTATACCTGTCACATTTATACAATCAAGTGACATGAACAGCGGTAAGAGAATCAGTCTCCAGCTTTCTTTTTTCACAGTTACAGTTATCTGCACAAATTACACCAAGCCTCCCACACAATATTTATAATGATGGAAGAGCAATTTTGTTGCTCAGAACAGTTTTTGATTGTGAGGATGAAAACTACATTCCCTTAAATCTTGGCAACTGCAGCCATCAGCAACCCGTTATATTATCCTTAGAGCTTGATGAGCTATAGAATAGAATGCCGCCTCATAGACAGAAGACGTCCAGGCACTGTCTCTTTTTATGCTGCAGCACTTCAGTTTTTTATTTTATTTTTTATTTATTTATTCATTCGTTTATTTATTTTATAAGTTATTCCTTGGCAAAGGCTTTTAGTCAGTGATAGACAAAATTCATATTTCCTATTGTAGTCTTTATGCTAGTAGAATCCATATGAGACATAAGAAGCGTTTAAAGGGAATCAACACAGTAAAGGAGGAGACTATGTTTAAAAGAAGAAAAACTACCACAACAAGAGGACATAGTCTTAAATTAGAGGGACAAAGGTTTAAAAATAATATCAGGAAGTATTACTTTACTGAGAGGGTAGTGGATGCATGGAATAGCCTTCCAGCTGAAGTGGTAGAGGTTAACACAGTAAAGGAGTTTAAGCATGCGTGGGATAGGCATAAGGCTATCCTAACTATAAGATAAGACTAGGGACCAATGAAAGTATTTAGAAAATTGGACAGACTAGATGGGCCGAATGGTTCTTATCTGCCGTCACATTCTATGCTTCTATGAAGTATTAAAATACTATTGTATGCTAATGTTAATGCTTTGAACAAAGTCACCTTACTAATGCTGTAAAACGATTTGGTTTTTAACTATTCTGTATAGTAGTAAGAATGGTCAGGCACTGTATTTTAAATTCTAGATACAAGCTAGGCACCATAGCTACTCACATCAAAACATGTGAATATAGCACAGGTCAGTAGGAATGTCCACCTTATTGTATAGTGTAACCACATGGCGGTGTACTAGCATGTAGAAAAATGTATAGAATGTTTCTTGCAAAGCACTGTTATGGAAGCTGTGGCATGGATTGCCCAAATATAATCATTATCGATCCCATTTTTCTCCTCTTCCTGGTAACTCTCCCAGTGAGCCACATAACCTGTTGAGCAGAATACTTCTTCTAGTTGCTTGTTAGGTAGAGACAATTCCACTACAGATTGTATCCACTATATAGAATTCACTGAAGCTTTTGATTTGCAAAAATCTGAAGAAGCCAGAATTACCTAAGAGATTATTAGCTGCTAAACTCTGAAAAAGCACCATAAGACCATCCAGAGATAATGGAGTCAGACTTACATGAATTTTCTTATACAAAACCATCATATTTACTCTTCAAGAATACAATCATTTGTGCATTGCAGTCAGGGACACAAGCCACAAGAAGTGCTTCCTGGAGTTTCACGGATTTTGATTCCGTGAAACGGCACTGGATGCTCTCATGCTTTGCATTAGGAAATCCAGCATGTTGAAAGATCCCATAGGAGAGCATTGCCAATGATTTTCTATGGGGAAGGCCAAATGCACATGCGGTGCTCTCGTACATTCATGTTAGTTTCTCCCATCAGCTGGAGGAGGAGCCTGACCCAGTTCTAAGGAAAATCAGCACTTGATATAGGTAAGTTTTTATAAAAAGGTTTTTAACCCTTTACATGGTGGGGCTGAGACATGGTGGCAGAGTGACACTATAGTGTTAGGAATACAGTTTTGTTTTCTACCCTTATTTTTGTACAAAAAACTTTTTTTTTTTCTTCTAATTTCTTCACATACTGCTTTTTAATCTCTGCCTTTTGGACTTTCTTCTCTCAATGATGACAGAATGGACGGACCTCAAAGTTCTTCTGAAATAATACTATATATCTAATTCGCATTGGAAATGTCACTTGCCCTTGATCTTTACTTGACAGCCCACAATCTTTATCTTTGTAAAACATTTATTCTTGGTTATCAGGCATCTGGCTACTTTGAGTGTCCAAATTATTTTTTACACCAATCAACATACATTTTCGAATTTAAAGGAGTTTGTTTATAATGTTTTATGTACTCTCTGCCAGGATTTAATCTGCTCCAGTCTGCAAGAAATTGCCATAATTATGAATATTTATATTTTGTTTCAAGATTTGCTCGTCATTTCTTTTTTCTTATTGCCCTATGGCAATTAAGTGTACAGTTATAACGTTTCTATTCACATAACCAGTGTGATGTTACTTACAGCAGTATTTTAGGTCTCTCAGGAACCAAAATGTAGAGTGAAACAATAACCCTTCAGGCTGGATTTAGTACTTTTAACAGGATTTAAAAAAAAAAAAAAAAAAGACCGCTTATTGAAATTACTCCCCATCCTCTAAATGTTTCATCCTTGGAATCCTGTGGGGAATCCTATGCTGAGGCATTGACTGACAACTGGGGGAAAAAACTATTTTTAAAGAGGCTTTCTTCCTAATCTGTACATTTTGCTTGCAAAACTGCTCGAATAACGTATAGTGTCCCCCCGGACAGAATAGGGAAGGGGGAGCATGACTGCTGCCCAGGATAGTGGGATGGTACAATGGTAGCAACAATGTTGCAAAGATGGAAGGATTTAAAAAGGTGTAGCAGGGGAGGAGACTTACCAGTCAGAAGGAGATTGTCATTACCCTGGTTGAATTTCTTTCACTGTCTGTATATCTTCTGACATTTCTTTTCTGTGATTACCTGGGCCTGCAAAAAAAATAAATAAATAAACGGCAATCTCCTGTTAATTCTCTGATAGAGGACTAGGCTTCACTATGGCCACCCCATCTCTGGAAGAATTGGTGAAACTGTTGGCTGCTTACCAGGAGTCCCATGGATCTTTGGACCAGGTGCTGTCTCAAGTTCAGCAGGCTGCAGGAGGACGACCAGATCGGCGTGAGGGTGATGATTCATCGCTCAGCGGGCGGAGGGCCAGGAGGTCAAGGCCTCCGTCGCGTTTATCCCCGAGTCCAGTGAGGAGGAGCGGAGGTCGGAGTGTTCCACGCGTTGAGGGAGGCAGCGGTGAGGCCGGGCGCTTCCCAGCGCGAAGATTGGCCAGTCGGAGGCGGAGAAGGGCCGGACAGGTGGTTGTGGAGTCCGGGCCCCAAGATGGCGACGATCAGGATGGCGGGAACCCGGCCGGAAGGTCGCGCAGCCCGCGCGCTTCTCTTCCGGCACGGGTGAGTGGGACGTCATCACGCACGCAAGCCGGCGTGCGTGCAACGTCGGACGTCATGACGCCGCGGCGCGCATGCGCGCGGCCGACCCGGGCTGGAGCCGGAAGTTCCTCTGCGGTGCAGGAGCACCGTGGCACAGTGCAGAAAGGACCGCAAACGTGCGCATCCGGCGCTT